TAACTGTTTACGAGTTGCTAGTTGTAAATTGCCTTTTGGAAAATAAAATTAGCCCAAAAGGTCGACTAGTAACAACATAAAATGCTGTTAGAAAAATTGAACATACAAGAGAAGTTGGTAAAAAGATTTGAGTTGCAAAGGTCATACAACAGAAATAGATTGAGATTATGTATAAACCCGATGGCATAATGACCAAACAGTTAGCTATATATTTTAACCTCTTATAAAATATTTGAGAGAAGATGTATTGTGTTAATATATAGCTTAATTTATTATAATATATATTATTTATTCAATTTAATTTATTTATTAATGTATAATTTATTCATATATATTTATTTATTTTGTTATCTTTTTCAAAAGAAAGCTGACAACATTTTTTACTTTGATTTTTATATGTCAACCTGTTTTATAAATCACAAAAATTTTTATTGTAGATAATAGATTGTGCTTGTTATTTTTACATTACTCTAGTTTCAATTGTGTCTGGATACAGTGGCAAATAGATGTATTGTAGTATTGCATTGATAAATAACAAAAAAAAATAATTATTTGATTATCAAACCTTGATTTATTTATCTAATATCAGAATTTGATCCCAACTGAATCTTATTCTGTATGGATGCTCCGGGGTTACACTTAAATTGAAGACAATAAATTTTTGTTTACATAAATACTTATTAACAATTTTATATATACTGCATTAATCATTAACATATAAATGAAATATTCTTCTTAACTTCTTTGAAAAACAAGAGCCATTAAAAAGTATAACATGTTTAAATTTTTTCTTATTAGTTTCAGGTAGTCAAAATAATTTTGTGATATATATATTGGAAAAATGTTGAAGTGACATCCTTCTATAAAATAAGGTATAATCTTCTCTTGAATTTTTTTTTTGATTCAGTACATATATCTTCGAATATAGGAATTGTGCTTCTTTTTGAAGAGAATAAATCTAGTTTTAAAATTTTGTCAGATTTTATAGTCTGAAATATAATATTTTCACAATGTGACTCTGAACTATTTATGATTATCTGAAATGCTGAATTAAGGTACATATATTTGGGTTCCTTGAGATGGTGGCCAATAAGTATAACATCATCACACTTAATATCTCGGCTTCCTCCTTTTTTTCTATTAAACATCTGATAGAGTTTATTTTCAAGCAAAAGATTAATAACTTCAGTAATTTTACCTGAGTTAGTCTAACTGCAGATTAAGCATATAAAGGACCATTGAAGAATTGAATTTTTACTATTATATTTTTCTGAATTTTTGTATTTGTTGATATTAAGTATAAATCTCTCAATCAGATTTAAGTTTTTCTATTTTTATCTTATTTAAAAAGTAACTTTTATTATATCAAAAATATATTCTATATTTATTATTCCAATAAATTATTTATATCTGACTCACTATTCGTATCTGAATACTTATGTATTTTTAGATACTAGTTCCACTATCTTATAAGTTTATTCTTTATATGATAAATAACCTCTCTTTTACAATTCACTTTTTATATATAGTAGAAGATCCATGTTAATATAAGATCTTGAATATATATCATTTGCTCTTTTTGGTTGTGTTACCTTCACTGATCCAAATTAATTTTCTCTTGTCTATAGAATATTGAGTTATCAGAAAAATGTTGACATCTCTAATATTTATATGCCAATTTCAACATTTCATTATGGGCATCTAATTATATCCAATTCAAAAATGCCAATTTACAAGATAGAAATTTCTTGTCTAGCAGATCTTTGAAAATATATCTATATCTGCGTTCATCAGTAAAATGTGAACAAACTGGGCACCATTCAAATTTCGTAACTATTAATGGATATGGATATTCCCACTGATGCTTAAAGGTAAATTTTGACAATATTAATATATGTTTTTTTTCTATAAAGACATTCTAGAAATTTATTTGGAATCAATGACATCATTTCATGTAGTATTACTTAAATAACACTTAAATAACGGAATATCCGAGTAATGCGCACATAATAACAGATAAAGTAATTAGCAAATACAATTAACTCTCTATAAATGCACCCCCTGGGTACCAGAATTAACGTGCATTTATAGAAGGTAATTTTATAAGAATTATTAGTGGATGAGACTGAAACATAGGGTGCATTTAAAGTGACAGTATAACTTATTTTCTGCAAATAATTTGAATAAAAAAATATTCAATAACACATATTTCTTCAATTTCCATGCTTCAAATAGTGTATTGTCCAGCCGGTCATTCTTACAATAATAATCACAAATCTATTGGATTTTGTGAGTCGAGTACTAAAGAAAATTTTATTCAAGAGTTCGGAACTTGGTCTAGTGGAAATGTTGAAATTGATAAGAACATATAAGGATCTCAAAAAAATGGAAAATTATATCAATTACAATTACAATGGATACCTCATGACAACTTCCGAGATATCAAACATATAGCAGTTGATGGATATGGATCTGTATATTCTGCTATATCAAAAAAAGGCATTAAACGGTATTGGAATTTGAATAAACAGGATTGGGAATATTTTTACATAGGTAAAAAAGTTGCATTAAAAGAAATAAATGATTCTGAACATGATATATCTAAATTTCTTAAAGAGGTATGTTTCTTTTAATTAGATTATAAATTATTATAAACTTTTCTTATTGAAAATATTTTACATTATATATATATGTATATATATTGCACAATTAAATTAATTTATTTTTATTATATTTCAGGTTAAGAATATAAGGATTATGAATTATTGGCTTTACATTACAAAATATTTTGGAATTACAAAAAATCCTTTCACTCAAAATTATATTATTATTATGCAATTATGTTATGATAGCTTACATAAATTTTTAACAAAAGGTTTTGTGAATTTAAGTGGAAATCAAAAATGAGTTTACTAGTGAGAATAGTGTATGGTCTTTATAGCTTACATTTTAAAAACTTAGTTCATAATGACCTACATAGTGGAAATATTTTGATAACTATTTAAATTCATCTTATGCATCAATTACAGACTTAGGTTTATGTAGTTTAGAAAATGATTTAATAATAAAATCAGATAACAAAAGTAATAATATTTATGGATCAATTCCATATATTCTACCTGAAGCTTTACTAAGAAATGAAATCACAAGAAAGGGAGATATTTATAGTTTTGGTGGAATTATGTATGAAATGGCTACTGGAAAACGGCCATTTTATGATCGAGCACATGATACCCATTTAATAATTGATATATGTAATGGAGTAAGACCAAAAATTCCTGATATTATGTTAGATTGGATACCACAATGCTATTCAGATTTGATGTATAAATGTTGGAATGGTAATCCTTCTGATTGACCAACTGTTCAAGAATTAGACGATGCATTATCGAATTTAGTTAATAATAATATAAAAAGATTATATTTTTCAACAATTTAAGATAGTAGATGAAAAATAAAGAAAAGCAATCAAATCTCAAAAACATGAATCTCCTCTATCGTCAAGCATATCTCATCCACAATCTTGCTATATTAGCCGATGTATTCATACTCTTCATGGATTACATAATTCATTAAATCTCAAGGTAATATTTTTATCAAAATTTAATTATTTTATTTTAATTTTTATTTTAATTATTATTTTAATAAATAATTAATTACTAAATTTTACATTTATAGATCCCAATTTATTAATGCCTAATGAACCAACTACTTCAAGTGTTAGTAATTATGATATTGCAAGAATGCATTGATTGGGAAAGAGAAATTCAAAATAAGGTTGGAAAAAGACTATTCTATGATATCTCAACTTTAGATTGTAATTCTCGAGAATCCACAGAATGCATTAGTATTACATTTAAGAAAATCAAAAACGGTTAAATCATTTACTTTTTATTATATATAACGTTTTTTTTTAGTTTAAAAGTTTTATAACATGTGACTTACCAATAACTACATATACAGTGGTGTGCAAAAAAAATGGCAATTTTTTTAAAAATTGATCATCAAGTGTAACTAACTCAATTTTGGTCG